TGGCGTCAATTCATGCAGGCACAGGATGGCCGGCAGTTGCATGGACCCCTGACAAAGCTCGTCGCGGTGCTTGCTCAGGTGGGCTGGTGCATCTTAGAGCCACCACAGGTCCTTGACCACGAAGGACTGCAACACAACTTTGTGCAGATGCCTATGCCTTTGCTGCGCAGACTTCTTGAGCATGCCTGGCTCCAGTACACAGCGCGCTGTCATGTCCACCGCAAGGCTATGGCTGATCTGCGGGGACTAGACCCGGCATTGTTGCGGGCTGACACAAAGCGGATGTCGGCCCTGGACGTGGCGAGGTACGCCTCAGTCCGCGCAGGCGCTTTCTTGTTTGGTCACCAACACTCACAGTTCGACCTGACTCAGACCGGTCTGTGTGAGCACTGCCAGGTGCCAGATACCGTGGAACACCGCATATGCCATTGCCCTCTCAATCGGGAGTTGCGCGATGGTTATCAGTGGGCGGTTGATCGATGGGGCACTTTGCCTAAGTCGCTCACACATCACCTACTGCCAGCAGCAAATCCTTTCTTGCCGGCACTGCGCCGCTGCCTGCACCAGATTGTTGATACGACGGGGGTTTTCTTCTGTTCAGGGTTTGGGTTGGGTTGGCAACAGCTCTTCACTGACGGTGCCTGCACCCAACATGTGCATCCCGACTTCGCTTTGGCTGGCTGGGGGTTGGTCCACGCCCAGCACCACACCGCAGTGGCCTGCGGCATGCTACCAGGTATTCTACAGTCAGCCCCGCGTGCAGAAATCACTGCGATGACGTCTGCAGCACGCTGGGCCTTGCAAACCGGACTCCCATGCATGGTTTGGACGGACGCGCTCAACGTGGCCAATGGCGTGGCTGCAGTGCAGTCAGGCGGCACCATGAATGAGGATGAGGATGCAGACTTGTGGTCGCCGCTGACCGGCCTCTTATCTCAGCTGGAGCCCAGCCGGTTTTTGGTTCGGCACACGCCCTCCCACCTGGACACGCAACTCACCGAGGGACCGTTCGAGGACTGGCTTGCGGGCTACAACGGTCATGCCGATGTTCTTGCAGGCATAGCCACCAGAAATCGGCCCCAGCTTTTAGTTGAGGCCTTCGAAGCGGCGAGCTCCTACTATCAGGATACCCTGGAATTGCTGCGGGCATTTCGGTCCATCTTCTTCGGCATCGCTGACAAACGACAGACCGCCCGTGGACGCACGACAGCTGCGGAGGGGGATACCTGGGAGCCACGAGTCCCGACTCCGTGTACGGTGCCGAGACGATTGGAGATCGAAGCGACCCTGCCGCTGAACTGGAGCCAAACGTTGGCAACAATTCGGAGTGACTTCCCCGTGGACTTCGTTCGCTCTATCTGCGAGTTCATCTTTCAGCAGGATGCTAGTGCTACGGAGGCATACGAGCTGTCATGGCTGGAGTTGGTTTTTGCCCTTCATCTTGAGGACCGAGCACAGTACCCGGTAAGCGGTCCAGATGGAAAGTGGTGTTCAGCAAGTTTGCTAGCTTTTCGCCCTCCTGCACCTACTGTGGCGGGTCGGCTTAGTATTATTCGAAAGGCCATGCGGCCGGTGCTGCACGGCTTGAATCTTCAGTCGTTGATGGTTCAGGGTATCGATCGTTCTGATTTCGGCATCGGTTTTAGGCTGGATGGCCTTGTGGTTGGGGTCGATTCTGAGCTTTTCCTTCGGGCCCGTGCAAGCCTCGGCCGCTTTGTACAGGGCAGGAGTGTCGGCACAAAGGCCGCACTTGCCAGGCCGATCTAGTTTTGGACCTGACCTGGAACTTCGCTCGCCTGCGGACTGCACTGCTCGCGCCGTGCATCCGCTCTATGGCCCGTGTGTGGTATACACACTAAACCCTAAACGGAAGGGGACCCTCCAAACCCTCAACCCCTAAACCCCTAAACTCACCAACCCTAAACGATATAAACTCTAAACCCCAAGGCCTAAACCCCAAACCC